AGGTTTCAGGAAAGCTTCACAGAGGGTTATGTCTGAGTGGGGCCTTAAGGCATATATGTGTAAGAGTTCATGGCTGGACGGAGGGAGAAAGACAGCCCAGGTATAGAAAACAGCAGGAGCAAAGTTGTGGAGGCATGGAAATGCACCTGGAGTTAGCAAGCCACGAGCATCTTTAATAGGGCAAATGGGGAGGAAAGAAGCTGGGAAGGAAGGTTGGCCCAGACTGTGAAGGCCCCTACCTGCTCATTTAAACTTTCTCTTGAAGAATCATTTAGTTTAGTTTAGTTTGGGTTTTTAGTTTTTTGCCATAGGGTGAAGGTGGTCACCAGACAGAGACATGAAAGAGAAATCGCCGCCCCGCTCAGGGAGGGTGGCCACCCCTTAATCCCCTCTCCTCCATTCTCCTCTCAGGATTTTGGGAATGCATACACACACACACACACACACACACACATCATGCACGTCCAGTGTGATTTTCAAGCTTCAGTCTGAGACTCGAACCATGGTTGGCCATGTGGGAATCCAGTGCCTTAATTACGAAGCCACCTGCTGGTCCCTAGGGTTTATTTTAAAGCAGTGAAATAACTTAGATTTGTTTTTAAAAATAATTCTGAAATCAGAGGGTGGGATGGGTTAGGAAGGCAGAGACTGAAGGTCTGAAGTTCAATTATTCAAATATAAAAAAGAATGGTGACAGTGGTGTGGCCAGATGGCTATGCAGTGTAAAGCGTGATGCTCTGTGAGGCTCACCCACAGGAGGCATGGGTTTGTATTCAGAGACCTCCCTGAATGTGCCAGGCACATGTGGGCCCAAGATCCAGAGATAATGAGTCTAGTGGTGAATTGTGAGGTCATGACCCTATTGGGGCTATTTGTCTCTTCCTATGTCTCTTGCTCAGGGAAGAAATAAATACACACATACAAACTAACTAGCTAACAAATAATAAAGAATAGTGACAATGGAGGCCCGGCCATGTGGGCGAACACTGCTAAGATGCTGTGCTCTACAGGTTAGAGCCACGTGGGAGGCCCAGGTTTGGTTCCTGCTCCACCGAAAGGCCAGGCATGGTGGTGTGTGACTGTAAACCCTGCAATGTGAGGAGGCTGAGGCGGGAGGATTATGACATAGTGAGACACTAACTTAAAACAACAAAACCAAACCAAAAGCATAGTGACAGTGGAAATGGAAACAAAGGGACTAATCTGAAAACGTTATGGAAAAAAATGAACAAGATGGCAGCCAAGTAGATATCAAAGTAGGAAAAGACGCTGAAAATTCTCACTAGGGAAGATGGTGACAAATGGATCTGGCGAAGGAAAAAGGCAGAAGAACAGGTTTGGGAGTGAAGGAGGGCACCAAGAGGTCCCACTGCAATATGGTGAGTCTGAGACATCTTGATACAACCAAAGGAAGCCAGCCAGCGGAGGCTGTAGAGCAGGCCTGCACTGCGGAGGGAGGCCGGGGCCGGAGATAAGGATTTAGATGCATTAGCAACTCCAATAACTAAAAACTTGTAGAGAGGGAGGAAGTAAAAAGGCAGCAGCAAGTGAGCTAGGAGGAGAAAAATGAGAGTCCAGGTCACAGAAGACAAGGCAGGGCATGGTTTCCAAACAAGAAGGGGCCAAGAAGTTAGGAAACCTCAAGTCTGGAAGGAGGAGACCACATTTGACAATAACCCCGACGCTTTCTAAAGCAGTTTTAGTATGGATACCTTATACAATGAATATACTGTGCAGTACTAATTAGCATCTTCATCCTCCGATGTCAGAAACAATGTTGGAAGTAGGATTTGGAACATTATTTATTAAAAGCTAATAAGGGGATTTAAACCTATTAGATTAAATCATCAAAAACATAAAGCAATTCGTAAAGGTATACAACTAATTATCTCCCTAATTTCAGACCATTAAAGATGAGGGGTTGAAAAGAGAGATAAAACCAAACTTGTAGAACTAAGAGCCACGTAATGTTGATCTCTACCCAAATACGGGCAGTCACGGTGGTTCAGAACAAGCACTTTAGATCAAACGCATGTGAGTTCAAGTCCAGCTGCAACCTTACTAGGCGGGTAATGCTGGGTAAGTTAACTTCTTGAAGCCTGATTTTTTTTTTCATTTGTAAAATGAAGATAATAATAGTATGAATGTGACATTGAATAACAAAGACATGGATGTGGTAGCTGAAGCAGCTGGATCCCACATAGGACGACTGCGGGACTGGAAAACACACTGAATGCATGCGTGTACATTCCCCAAATCCCTGAAAGGAGGAACAGTAGGGGCTGCGGCATGACTGTTCCCTGCTGTGGATGTTTTCTCACTTTCCCTCTCTCTGTCTCTCTCCAATGAGCACATGTGCTCTCTAGCAAATTAAAAAGGAAAAGAAAAAAAAAAAAGACATACGAAAGCTCTTGGCACTGTGCCTAGCATGTAAGTTCTCAACAAGTATTGACTTATCATTATAATAAATTCATTATTATAATCATGTTTCATTTACAAGTTAAAATATGTATTGATAACAGCAGTCACATGTAATTTCAAACAACTGTTCTTTAATTGTCTTTTTTTTTTTGGAGAGGTTTTTGCCATAGGGTGCGTGCGTTCGCCAGACAGACAGAGAGACAGACAGAGACAGAAAGCGAGAAATCACCCCCCCAGAGGGAATGGCCACGCCACAATCCCTTCTCCTCCATTCTCTTTGGATCTTGGGCATACACACACATGCGCCTGGTGTGAGTTTAAGCCACTGGGTCTGGGATTCGAACCGTGGTCGACCACATGGGAGTTCAGTGACATAGCCATTACGCTAACTGCTGGTCCCTTCTTAAATTGTCTTAATCAATATATATGTTTAAGCCACTCTCCCCATGTATGAAGCATGGCTCTAGGTGCTAGAAATACTAAAAAACAAAATAAAAAAGATCCAGTATCTTTCACAAGGTGTCTAGTTCAATGGTATAGAAGTCAAACTGTACAACTACAAAATGAGATGATCCATCCCATAACAAGAAAATGAAAAGGGTGCTAAAAAATACTTGAAAAGTGCTGAGACCAGCAGTTAGTGTAATGGCTATGTCGCTGGACTCCCATGTAGTCAACTGCTGTTGGAGTCCCATGCCCGGTGGCTTAAAACTCACGCTGGGCGTGTGTGCGTGTGTGCGTGTGTGCCCAAGATCCCGAGAGGAGAATGGAGGAGAAGGGACTGTGGCGTGGCCATCCCCCCTGGGGGGTGATTTCTCGCTTTCTGTCTCTCTGTCTCTCTCTGCCTTTCTGGTGAGGGCATGCACCCTATAGCAAAAACCTCTCCAAAAAAAAAGAAAAAAATACTTTAAAAGTGCTGAAAATATGAAAAGTACTGGGGAAAAAAATCACAGAATCTTGTGAGGGAGAGAGGCTGGCAGGACTATGAAGACGAGGCAACATTTAAACTTTTCAGAGAAAACCGCAAGGAAAATGTTAAGGATAATAATAAACATTAAGGCATCATCAAGCACACACAAAACACTGAGAGGGGGGAATCAGCAGTTAGCATGATGGCTATGTCACTGGACTCCCACGTAGTCGACCGCGGTTCGCGTCCCGGCCCTGGTGGCTTAAACTCACGCCGGGTGCGTGTGCATGCGTGCCCAAGATCCCGAGAGGAGAATGGAGGAGAAGGGATTGCGGCGTGACCATCCCCTCTGGGGGGTGATTTCTCGCTTTCTGTTTCTCTGTCTGTCTCTATCTGGCCAGCGCACGTGCCCTATAGCAAAAACCTCTCAAAAAAAAAAAAAAAAAAAAAAAACACTGAGAGGGGAAGAGTCAGAGAGAAAGAGGAAATTCTTTGCCCAAGGGCAAGCAGCACGAGAAAAAGAGCTGGACACAACCCAGACTTGTCATCCGGCTCAAGGAGACTTTTTAGCCAAAATACATCATCAGAATATTTACACCCTTCCCCACCTGGGTTTGGGCTACATGCTCTACAAAGCAAATTAAGTAAGCATCTCCGCCTATCCTCTAAAAGTCTACAGTCTAAAAATAGGCAAACTAATAAATGGACAAACTGAAGAACTTTGATGACGAACGATCCCCCAAAGACAGTGTCTGCAAATAAACACTTCTCAAGTTCAGTTTGGACCCACAAGTAAGGATGTTGATAAATTTTTCCCTTCCCTTTGGAGAGGTTAAACACCAGAGGGAAATATCAAGATTACATGGATGGGTTCCTCAAAAAATTAAAAATAGAATTACCATATGATCCAGCAATCCTACTTCTAGACACGTATCCAAAAGAAAGTGATGTCTCAAAGAGATAGTTGCACACCCATGTACACAGCAGAATTGTTTTGCTATATTTTTTTCTTTTAATTTCCAGAGGGGACATGTGCTAGCCAGAGAGAAATGGGGTTGGGGTACAGGGTGGAGAAGCACCTTCAGTGGGCTCCACAATCCTTTTTCCTCCATTTCTCCATCTTGTCAGGATTTGGGACACACATGCTCATGCACCCAGCATGTTTTTCAAGCTGCCAGGGCCCATCATTCAAACCACAATTGACCATGTGGGATCTGGCTCCCTAACCCCAAGGCTACAGGGCTGACCCTCTTTTCCTCTTTTTCTTTCTACTCCTGATAAGAGTATGGACACACACCTATGGGAGAGAATGGAGGGGGACCCTCCGCAGGGTCTGATCACTCTGCAATTCCATTCCTCCAAACCTTAAGCCCTTCGGATCCTGGCCACTCAAGCACGTGTCCAGAATGTTTCAGGCTGACGGGGCCAGGGATTCGACCCAAGGTCACCATGCGGGATTCGGCTTCTCTTGAGGAGGACCTTCTCACTGTACCACAGAGCCAGTCCTATAGCAGCATTATTCACAATGGCCGGGGCTACAAGTAACCAAGTGTCTATTGATGGATGACAAGAGAAGGAACGGAGTTAGTGTTTAACAGATACAATGTTTCAGTGTTAGTTGATGACTTCCAGAGATGAAGTTAGGATAGGGATGGGGGCACAGCGGTGTGAATGTACTTATGCCACAGAACTAGACACCTAAAATGGTAAATTGGGAAAAGTCATGACATGTAGAAAATACATCACGGCTTTCCTGCGACCTAATATTGATCACAATTGTTAAAAATGTAAACTTGAAAAAAAAAAAAGCATGGTTGGGACCAGCAGACAGCGTAATGGTTAGATCACTGGACTCCCGTGTAGTTGACTGTGGTTCGAGTCCCAAACCTGGCAGCTTAAAACTCACACCGGCACATGTGTGTACCCAAGATTCTGAGAGGCGTATGGAGGAGAGGAGACTATGGGGTGGCCTCTCCCTCACCCCAGGGGGTGATTTCTCACTTTCTGTCTCCCTGGTGAGTGCACATACTACAGTCAAAAAATATCTCTTAAAAACAGTACATAGTTGTCATGCCCATTAAATAACTATTCTTAGCCAGCTGCAGTGACACAGAGGTAATACACGCTCTGCAATGCTCAGGCCACATGAGAAGGTCTCTGTACATGCCAGGGACGTGTGTGTTCCCACAATCTTGGCTGGATGGGGATGGATCGGGGCATTAAGGCCCTGTTGGGGGCCCTCTCTCTCGCTCAAAAACATAAATAACATTTAAAAAATATTTCATATAGAAGCAAATGAAAAGATTTCACTTCTGACATCTAGATGCAATGTCATCTGAAGAGGGGATGAGAACATGAGAGCAGGCAGGCAGAAAGTTCTCTCTTCAAAGTAGTGTCCAGTTACCATTCCCTGGGAATGGACACCTTTGCAATCCACTCAGGAGGCGGCTCGTTGACAGTCACCGTCGGGCAATTTTTAATTAATACAGTCCTTGTGTACAGCACCACCCCATTAAGAAATGATTGTTAATGTGCATATTTTAGAAGTTACTGATTGTACTTTCATGCGCAAAAGCAGTAGTCTGGGCCTTATTTAAGATCCACACTATAATTCATAAATTAGTTCTCGTCCTTAAGGGCTTATTGTTTAGTTGAGCCAATAATAGATGGACATAAGAAAAGCGAAATAATGAGCCTGTGACTGTGTCCAAATGCAAGGCACATATAATTAGCCCTCTAGCAAGTTTGACTGTGGGCTGGCGAGCCCCAAACAGACGGCACGTCTTGGAACCAGGTCCTGAGGGAAACCACTAAATTTGGGAGACGTGTTCAGGACTCAGTCGGCAGAGATGGGCACACCTGGTTCGAGGACAGGGTTTGTCATGGGAGGTAGAAGGAATAGAAAGGGAGAGAAAGGACTCTACAATCTGGAACCAGGTAGAATAAGTTTTCTTTGTTTGTTTTAGATTTTTGCTATAAGGCACATGCGCTCACTGGAGAGAGACAGAGAGGAAAGTGAGAAATCACCCTCCAGGAGTACGGCCACACTGCAGTCCCTTCATACAGTCCTTGTGTACAGCACCACCCCATTAAGAAATGATTGTTAATGTGCATATTTTAGAAGTTACTGATTGTACTTTCATGCGCAAAAGCAGTAGTCTGGGCCTTATTTAAGATCCACACTATAATTCATAAATTAGTTCTCGTCCTTAAGGGCTTATTGTTTAGTTGAGCCAATAATAGATGGACATAAGAAAAGCGAAATAATGAGCCTGTGACTGTGTCCAAATGCAAGGCACATATAATTAGCCCTCTAGCAAGTTTGACTGTGGGCTGGCGAGCCCCAAACAGACGGCACGTCTTGGAACCAGGTCCTGAGGGAAACCACTAAATTTGGGAGACGTGTTCAGGACTCAGTCGGCAGAGATGGGCACACCTGGTTCGAGGACAGGGTTTGTCATGGGAGGTAGAAGGAATAGAAAGGGAGAGAAAGGACTCTACAATCTGGAACCAGGTAGAATAAGTTTTCTTTGTTTGTTTTAGATTTTTGCTATAAGGCACATGCGCTCACTGGAGAGAGACAGAGAGGAAAGTGAGAAATCACCCTCCAGGAGTACGGCCACACTGCAGTCCCTTCTCCATTCTCCTCTCAGAATTTCGGGCACGCATGCGTACACACACATGCGCACACACCCGTCAGGATTCTCAAGCTGCCGGGTCCGACGAGACTTAAACTGCGGAGTCAGCCATGTGGAATACAGCACCTTAAGTACCATGCCACCAGATGGCCTCAGTAGCTCTTAAAAGTCAATTTTATGGATTTGTATTTCTACCTCTACCCCTGGAGGCTTTTGAGATGGGGTGTTACATAAGGAACAGCATCACAGTGTGAAATACTCTGGACAGGGAGACCTTTAAGTGGTAGAAAGCTGGACTTTGGGCCCCTTGAACATAGTTAACATAGTTACCTTAGTTGCCCCTAGTTACCCCGAGGGTAACTAAGTCACAAAGCCTGCTAGGTCACACAGGAAAATGACACCCAACATGTGCCATAGCTAAGTGTAAGTCCTGACTTGAAAAATGCCAGGCTGTATGTTTTTACATGTGAGGAATTTGTCTTACAGGTGTCACGAGAAACACTGACACTGGTAACTCCTTAGAAGTAGGACAGAGTTGAAGAACTTACTTTTCGTTGTATACCCTCGTATAATGTAGGTATGCATTTGAACCATGTACGTGACCTTATTTCATAATTTTAAAGTTTCTTAAATATAATAACAAAAAAGTAAAAATGGTTTGAATTTTAACCAGCCAATTCAAAATACCTCCTTTTTCCTTAAAGGCTTTTTGCCATAGGGTGCATATGCTTGCCAGAGAGAGAGAGACACAGAAAGACAGTGAAAAGGAAAGTGAGAAATCATCCCCCGGGGGATATGGTCATGTTGCAGTCCTTTCTTCTCCACTGTCCTCCTGGGATTTTGGGCATGCATGCACATGCATTCTCAAGCCACCAGCTCCAGGATTCAAACCATGGCCGGCCACCACCATGCCACCTGCTGGTCCCTCAAAATACTTATAATTAGGAGGTGAAATATATGATGGGACTTCAAAACGTTCACAGAAAATGTAATGAGTGAGCTGACTTAGGTGCAAAAGGAGATTCATACATTTTTTTTTTCAATAGTACACGTTTTCCATGAACTTTTTGCCTTTTTTTTTTTTTTCTGGAGAGGTTTTTGCTATATGGCACATGCGCTCGCCAGACAGACAGAGACAGAGAGACAGAAAGCGAGAAATCACCCCCCAGGGAGCATGGCCATGCCGCAATCCCTTCTCCATTCTCCTCTCGGGATCTTGGGCTCGCATGCACATGCACCTGGCGTGAGTTTTAAGCCACCGGGTTCAGGACGCGAACCGCGGTTGACTACGTGGGAATCCAGCGACATAGCCATTACACTAACTGCTGGTACCCACGTTTTCCATGAACTTTTTGAAGCCCTTTCCTCATCCCCCTATTTCAATCTTGTCTCTATAATATCTTAATCCTTATCGCATAGCGGAGATATAGTGAGAATGATATAAAATAGTAAGAAGTATTCAGCAAGCACTACAATGTATACTAAGCCAGATGCTCGCACAGCAGTGGAACACGACACTCTGCGAGGACAACTCATGTGGGAAGGTTCCGAGTTTAAGTCCACAGACCTCCCAGAGTACACAGGGCGTGTGTGTGCCTGTGATCCAGGGCTAGCTGAAGGTCAGAAGCAGATCAAAGCATCAAGACGCCATCAGGGGTGCTGTATCTCTGTCATTCTCACTTATGGAATAAATAAATACACTTAAAAAAAGAGTACACCACACATCTAAGGTTTCAACTTCAACACAAACAGATGTCATGAATCACCCACAATAAAACATTTCCTTTTTGATGTATTTACATGAAAAGTCTGCTGATACTATTTCAAATCCACTTTTCAATGAAAACAGAAAATAAAATAATAGCCCACAGCATGTTTGATAAAATAGAACACTATGGCAGTAAATGGTCTTTGCACTCTTCCAGTTGTTCAGGACAAAAGTAATGGAGTCATCGCTGACTTCCTCTTTTTCTCTCAGCCTCTCTATCAGTCTTACCTATTCTACCTGCAAAATGTACCCAGTATCCAACCACCACTGCCTGGTCCTTCGCTTCTCACTCAGACCGTTGCAGATTTCCCTGGGTTCCCTGCTTCCACTCTTGTCCCCTACACTCACTCCTCCTCAGGGCAGCCAGAAAGATCCCCTTAAAACATAAATCTGAGTAAGTTGCTCCCCTGCCCACAACTTCCAGTGGTTTCCTATCACATAAAGCTGCATGATCCAGACCTGGTTTCCACTCCACACACCAGTCTGCACCCTCTCCTCACTCCCTCTAGGCCAGGCACATGGCTTCTGTGCCCTTCCTTGGACTCAGCCACTGCCCCACTTAAGACCTTGAACCTGACTCTTCTCCCAAACAGCCCTTGGGCCCACCCTTGCTTCATCTGGATCTTGGCTCAAATGCAACCTCATCAGGGCACCCTTTTCCAACTACCCTGCCTCAAACAGAAGGAAAAAATTTACATTGCTTCGTTTCTCCTTTCTTTCTTCCTTCCTTCCTTCCTTTCTTTTTCTTTTTTTTTTTTTTTTTTTTTTTTTTTTTTTTTTTTTGAGAGGTTTTTGTTATAGGGTGCGTGCACTCACCAGAAAGACAGAGAGAGACAGAAAGAGAGAAATCATCCCCCTGGGGGAATGGCCACACCATAATCCTTTCTCCTCCATTCTCCTCTCAGGATCTTGGGCACGCACGCACATGCGCCCAGCGTGAGTTTAGGGTCTGGGTCTCAAACCGCGGTTGACAACATGGGAGTCAAGTGACATAGCTATTACGCCAACTGCTGGTCCCCACTGCTTCATTTTTCTAAGTTTATTTATTTCTTCTGTGAGCAAGAAAGAGAGAGAACCCTCAACAGGGTTCCAAAAAGGTCATGATCCACCAACCCTAGCCTCAGGTAGCCCCAGAGCACGGGCATGCATGTGCTAGGCATACTCAGAGAGGTATCTGAACATGGATCCAGAACTTTCCCATGTGAGTCAGCTCCACAGACTGTCACATTTTACCACTGTGCCACCATCTGGCTTCTACTTTTTCTTTACAGCAATTGAAATTATGATATTTGGTTATCTGTTGCTTATCGTGATTATTTAGTACCCATCTCCCCCAACTACTGGGTTGTCGGGAAAGTCATGACCCATTTTTGCATAGGAAAACAGGTCATGGCTTCCCCAACAGCCTAATAGGAGGTGTGCTCCGTAACATAAGACTTTTTGCCTCGTTCACTGTTTTAGCCCCTGGGCCCAGAAGATGTCTGGTGAGTGATGGGAGCTCGATAAACCTTCGTGGAAGAATGAAGTACAAATCAAGGCACTCAAGATTATTGGACAAAGAGGTTTTTGAAGTCCAAAATGAGGCAGAAACATAACAATGCCCAGTAAATTTGGGGTAAAGGAATGAAAAAGCCAAAACATCAATTGACAGGCATATAAACCTATCATTTATCTATGGCATGCTGCTGGGAATCCATTAATTGATGCTGTGCGACATCATTTATTTATACTCTGGAGGGCTATTCTTGAGGTTTTGTGGCTACATTAAAGAGTAAATACTGTAACAAGCTCCCCTCTCCCTCTCTCCCGAACCAATGAACTTGGATGGAAAGTTCCATTAAAAAAAGAAAGCAATCACTGTCTCAACCAGATGACCAGAATATTCAGTTACTCCATTGAGGAGAAGATCAGGGAAAAGCTCCAGCTTCAAAACCAGAAAACCAGATGGAGGGCAAGTTCTGCCATAAACTCCTAGCACTTTGGCAAATCACGATACATTCATTCATTCACTTATTTATTTATTTAGAGAGATTTTTGCTATAGGACATATGTGCTTGCTCAAAACACAGAGGGAGACAGAGAAACTGAGAAATCACTCTCCCTGGGGAGATGGCCATGCCTCAACCCCTTCTCTTCCATTCTTCTCTCAGGATTTCAGGCATGCACACACATGCTCCTGGTGTGAGTTTCAAGCCACTGGGTCCAGGACTTGTACCATGGTCAACCATTTGGGAGTCCAATGTCTTAACCACCCTGCCACCTGCTGGCCCACATTTATTCTTTTTTTCTTTCTTTTTCTTTAAGTGTCAGAGGGCACATGCACTCACCAGAGAGAAAAAGAGGGGGAAGGAATCACCCCTCAATGGAGTGTGGTCATGCTTCAATCTCTTCTCTGTCTCTCCATCTTACAGGGATTTGGCACACGCGCGTGCACGCGCGCGTGCACACACACACACACACACACACACACTTGCACCTGGTGTGATTTTCAAGCCAGAGATGTTGGTCAGCCACTTGGGGAGTTGGCTCCCTTAACCACTAACTATGGCGCTGGTCGGCAAAGTACAGGTCTAATCCTCTCTCTTCAACTGTAAAGCAAGAATAAAAGAGCTTCTCTTCACATAGTCGTTGTAAGATGAGGTGAGGAGATGCTTACACAAAGGCATCTTGAAAACAGAGTGGACTCTGTGATAACCCTCACGCAGTACTAGCCAACCCTAGTTCACATTCTCTCCACCGCCTCTGATGAGCTTGGTCTAAACAGGGGTCTGACTCTTGTGCCCTTCCCCCACCCCCTCACTCTCCCTCACCTCCTCAGCTTGGAAACTCCATTGATTTCAATGTGAACTTCCAATAGTTCAAAATTCTTCACAAATTGATCCCAAACCATGTTCATCTTCTGGTCATAATCGAGACACATGGAACTACAAGTGGTCCTCAAAAAGTTCACAAAAAAATGCATATTAAGAAAAAAAAAACTATGCATGATTTTGAGTTCGGTAACAATTTCAAAATTCTTCTGCACCATAATAAGTTTTAAAATTGCACTTTTCGGGAATCAGCAGTTAGCGTATGGCTATGTCGCTGGACTCCCACGTAGTCAGTCGCGGTTCGCGTCCCGGACTCGATGGCTTAAAACTCACACCGGGCGCGTGTGCGTGCGTGCCCAAGATCCCGAGAGGAGAATGGAGGAGAAGGGATTGCGGCGTGACCATTCGCCCTGGGGGGTGATTTCTCGCTTTCTGTCTCTCTGTCTCTCTCTATCTGTCTGGCGAGCGTACGCGCCCTATAGTGAAAACCTCTCTTAAAAAAAATTTGCACTTTTCATGAAATTCTCACATCCCTTACACTCTGTGCATATCCACGTGCTGAGACCCCCACCTTTACCCTCGGCTCATTCTTCCTTCATTCCTTCAGGCTTTCTAGACACTTTCCAAGGTCTTCCAGCACTCCCCAACCTGAGTGAGTCGTTTCCTCCTGCAGGCTCGCTCAGAACACTTTCTCTCTAACATGCTTCTGAATCACTGCTGGTTTGCAAGCCTGTTTCCCCCCAAGATCAGCGGGGTGCCAGCTGCCCCCTTTTCAGGTCCTCAGCACCTAATGGTGTAAAAAACACACCATCCATACTGAAAGCTTGCCCTTTTAAAATACATTTTAATTGCTTTCTCAGGCCTTTCCAGCTCTCTCTCCATGACTTATGGCTTGGAGTCGGTATTAGGAAAAGCCTTTTCTTACATTTCTACTCTTAAGGAAATAAACTGGAAGGTGAAGTCGACTGATGACTCCTAGGGGTCTTCTGGAAACAAGCAGAAACTGAGCAGAAGGACAGAATGAGGCTACACACCTCTTTCCAGGCCTCTTAAGTTAGGTCTTTGAAGCATGCATTGTTTTATTTGAAGAGCCATGAATTCTCGAATGAGATACACCCAAATTTAAGTCTGGTACGAAAGGTAATAATGTTCAACTTGTTCACTTTCAGGATTATCCAAGTTTCCACTCCTTTTTTTACAATGGTGAAAACTCCTGAATTGACTATAATTCAAAGCAATTATTGTTCTTTCTTTAGCTGTCAAGGTGCCCTGTTATTCTTTTCATAAATATCCTGGATGATCTGAGCAGAGTTCAATGCAAAGTCTTTTTCTTTTTTTTTCCCTCCTAGCCCTGTTCCTTTTAACTTGCTAAATTTATAGCATTCAAATGAAATAGAGAAAGAAAGGAAGCCCACTTTTGCCCCCACTGCTACTGTGATACATGTCTGAGTTTTAATTGCCCTTGTAATTATACCTTCAGCCAGGTCTGCAAAGGTACAGTGAGGAAATAAATTATGACAAAACCCGAAGAGGCCTTGCAGAGGTAGGAAGAAGACAGCTTTGTACTATTTCCTGCACCCAGGAGAAGGAAAGAGAAATAAATGAAAAAGAGGTCTGGAAATATCATAAGCTAGCTAGACAATTCACAGAGAAAGCATTTTCTGTCTTGAGCACCTCTAAGACTATATGAGCTGTAAGGCCAAGGGTCCCCTGGCGGTTTGATACTCAGCTAAGGCTGGCTGAAAATGGAAGGACTTGGATTGCTGGGCTGTGAATTGAGAAGTAAGCACGACAACAAAGGGAAACACACTATGACATTTTCTAAATATTTACCAAGGGGAGCTGTCTATTCAGTGAAGGGAGGCAGATCTGACAGTGAATTCTCCTGACTGCCTCCTACAAGCTGTCTCCACCACCATCAGCTCCAAAACCAGGTGACCTTCACCTCTAGGGTTTTGTCAAAGGAAAGATGCATCTCTGTGATAAACCCTGCGAATGTTGCACAATGATCTGCCACAAAGACCACTCACTGCATGTACTCTACCTGCCCAAATTTCTTGTAGAGAAGTAACCAAAGATCTGTCTGTAAAAGTCAACTGAATCCATGCAAACTGCCCCTCCCCCTACCTTGTTTTGTTTTGTTTTGTTTTGTTTTGTTTTGCTTTAGGGCACAGTTCACTCGCTGGAAAGAGGGGGAGAGGGAGGGAGAGAAAGAAAGAGAGAGAGAGAATAAGAAATCACCTCCCAGGGAAGATGGCTATGCCACAGTCCCTTCTCTTCCATTCTTCTCCTGGGATTTTGGGTATGCATGTACATACACCAGCATGATTTTCAAGTTGCTGGGTCCGGGATATGAACCCTGAATACTGCCATATGGGATCCAGTTGCCTTAACCTCCATGCCACCTGGCCCCTACAAACTACTTTTAAGATAAAATGCTTTTTTCCACAGTATCCTCTAGCCTATAATTTTGGCTTGTAGTATCTGTCTGGTTTCAGAGACTAATACTCATGAACTTCCCTGCCAGTCCTCATTATAAAATCAAATTTCTCATCAACCCACACAGCAGTTATTTTCACTCTTGATCTTCCCAAGTGAATTGATAAATGTTAATCTGCAGATCTGACGTTACAAAAAAAAAAAAAGTATAGGTAATGAAGAAATGTATTTTTTATCACTTAAAAACTCCTACTGGTCATGTTTCTTACTTTTTCAGTCTTGGGCAGAAAAGTAAGATTTTTTTGTGTTTGATTTCAAATGTAAAAAAAAAAAAAACCTCTTCAAGAGCAATTTGGTGATACTGAGTTTAGGTTCAACAGATATCTGACAGTCCCAATCGTTTCTTAAAGTCCTTTCCGCAGCCCACGAATACCACGTCATTACTGGACTTAAGTTCTGTACTGAACCTAGACAGCACACCTACATGTAAACACGTCCTCATGTTTATCCCTAACAATGGAGAGATTACAGAACAGTTTAGAACCTAATGCCCACTAATGCCTTCTTTTCTGCCTAGCCCCAATATACCTTTTGTTTTGTTTTTGTTTTTTTCTTTCTAGATCTCGCTAAGATGAACGTATTGGATATTAAAATATGTACTCTCATAACCTCTCCTAAGGGGGAGGGGGAACGTAAGCGGTTTGAGTAGGTAATCCTTCAGGAAATAAACCATACAGGCCATGAGAAAGAGAGAGGGCAGAAACCGCCTAGAACAGGAAGCAGCTAAGAGCACTGCTGCACATCAGCCCCCAGGTAACTTGCAGTTAGGTCTCACCTTTAAGCGGGTAACAACACAAATGAAAGGCCGGACTCTGTGACCTCCAAGGTCCCTTCCCACTTCAGTAGTGTTTGCCTCATGAATTGTTTATAGTCATCCTCTGTCCTATCACACTGTCCTATGCATCATCAAGCCCTCCTGGTCACTTCCAGGACTGAAAGGAAAATCTGATTTAAAAAAAAAAAAAAAATCCATGCTTTGACTACTGCCAAAATTGCAGTCTGTCCTTGAAACAATGACCTGAAAATAATGGGCAAGGCTAAAAACCTCTGAGCAAATAAATGCCCAATACTGTCTTCAGGCGATATCTTTTAAGCGTCTCTGCTGTAAGCAAAATGACTAACCCAAATCCTGGGAGTGAAGACTGTGAAACTGGAAGACAGGGCTGCAATCAGATCATTGTAACATGTATGTCTATATCCTCTGCTAAAGGTCTAACCTTAAAAAGAGGCTACAACAAATAGCTGTGCTGCTCTCCCCCCTCCCCACCACTCTCATCTGCGGTGTGATGTGAGGCAAGTCATTTCATCTCCCTGAACCT